GTGTGTGTGTGTGTGTGCGTGAGTGTGAGTGTGTATGTGTATGTGTGCGATCCTGAAGTCCCCAGAGAGTGCATTGGTTTGTTGGCTGAAAAGCTTGAGGGCACAAAACACAGCTGCTTAACGGATACTTCAGATCCTTCTATCCCGACAATCTGCATGTGTGTATGCATCTGTTGGCGTTGTTTGCATCACTGATAATAACAAATTTATACATTTCATGTTTAAAATAATGATAAAAAAAAATCGTTGTGTATGTGTACATGCGTGTATGCGTACGCGTATGCGTGCATTGCAAGCTAAGAAACATTCCTCTTACAACAAAGAAAAACTTTTCTTATTTTGCTTTCTATCGGCAGATCGGATCCTTCAAAATGTTCTTCAATAAACCCACCTATCAACAAAAAACTGTTGTTATTGTTCAGCGGAAAATATCAATCCTCCTATCCGTTAAACTTGAACTGATGTTAGGATGAAAATACTTCTACAGCGTTAGTAATGAAGGTGGGAAAATATAACCAAAAATTACTGATAATAAGCTCTAATTATTTAATCTTGTGATAATTTTAACATTGAAATGTTTTATGTTCCATCTAAGACAATCATCCTATTCCTTGTAACTTATGAAGTACAAATAATATTATCACTAACACATCAAAAACATCGTCCTAATCAAAAATTCATTGTACCAAACAAATAAAGAAACGAATAACAAAAGGGATCTTTTTGCTGTTAACCTTAATATCAATCGAGAATAACCTGGGATCATTGGATGACTTCAAATTCTCGATTATTGAATTAACAAGTTGAGCTCATTGTGTAGACGGAGTTCAAATAACTCAGAGTACTTTGATTAATTTACATTTAATTAGTTTTTTTTAAATGAGTTCCCCTTTATTCGCCATTTCCGAATATTTGAAATCATTAAAAGATGGCACAGCAAGATGATATGGTGCCTTTTCCATCTACACTCGTGAGTTGTGTTTGTGTGTGTATGTGTGTACGTGTGTATGTGCATGTCGTGTATGTGTTGTGTATGTGTGTATATATGTGTGTGTGTACGTCTGTATATATGTGTGCGTGTGTAGGCGTGTGTGTATCCGTGGATAACTCATGCCAGCTGTTCCTTCTCAGCCTTTTCCTATTTCAATAGACTACCTGCAAGAAAATGATATATTGTTTGGAAAGTGGAGGAGGAGAGAAAAAATGGTAGTTTTTTTAATTTTAATATTTTAAAATGGAAACAAAGGCATATATCCTTTGAGAGTTCTTCAGCACTTCAAACTCTTCGTTTGCATCATTGAAATTCGTAAAGTTACATTTGAAAACTTGACGAAAAAGACTGTCACTGCTTCTTCCAAGCTTTCGTATCAGCTAAAGAAGTCTTCTAGTTCTCATTGTTGATTTTATCATTTCATTGGCCTGAGGTCTCCTTTCCCATTAGTTACAGGCCTTTTTTGCGCTATATTTCCATGGAATATTGCTCTGCTCCGTCGCAAATGATTGGCCCGATTTACCGTTCCACATTAAAACGGTTGACTATTCCCAAGCAGTTTATAGCCTTTAAATCAAATTTTATTTTAAATTATAAAATATTTCAGTTGTCACTGTCACAATCCACATGCTTCTCACCATAAATATATTAGCCTTTGAATCTAACTGCTTATATTCATGGTGAGAAGCTTCGATTTTCATATCAACACTGATTTCGAATCGTGCGGTTGACGCAATTTATGCTTCATAATTTACGATGTCTAAAATAAAATTCAAGTTTTTCCTGATTCAAATTAAATTCAAGCAGGTCTTCAGCTGCCTATATGTGAACAAGCCAAAATCTCCAGGTTTCCGATCATTTGACTTATAATATCACTACACAGTTATCTTCCTGATCGATTTTTAGAATTCATTCTTATGTGAACTTAAGTTCGATAGAAATATTCCTCACAAAGTGTTATCTCCTCCATTTGAAACAAAAATGAATGAGAATAACACATATCTGATACTTTTTAACATGTAATTTCAATGCAGACAGATTGGAACTTCAAAATAGAATTTCACAACTTGTAATTTCCAAGGATTTCGATGTATTCAGGTTTGTGTCAGATGAATGAAGGAAATATTCACTGAAATATGATAAAAACAGGTTCTTTTTGTCGTAGTTTCATTAAATATTCACGTACGTGTACATACTTAGCCACTGATAGCTTTTTATTGGCTGAAGAAAGTTAACTCGATCCATTCCACAGTTTCCAGGCTCTACTATTTCCGGGTATTTTCGAAAATTGGCGGAAGAGATTTAGGTTGCTACTTATTATACCGAAATACCGAAACTACCAAAATATGCGGATTTCATGCTCTCAGTCTGTTACCCTAGAATAGACGGTATAGTTCTGCCAGACTACCTTCTTTTATCAACCTGGCAAACAGACAACTTTTTCAAAGAAACTTTATTGAAATACTGGCGAGTTTGAATTTATTCTGAAATATATCATATTTAGGAAGACTGATTTGAATCAAAGGAGTCTCTAGAGATTTCTAAGAGTTTTTTAAAGTGTTTCAGTTAGAAGAGGAAGACTGAAAAATTTACTGAAAATTATCATCTCAAGGTAATCTAGAAATTGTGATGTTAACCTCTAGGTATTGCTTTGCTTTTCCTCAATTTGTGTGATATTAATTTTAGGTAGAGTTTCTGGATAATTATAATATTTTCTATTATTACCATTTCATATATCACATTACTGTTCTCTAAGAAGCGTTAACAACTTCCGACCGAGTCTCCTATTTCTTCCGGGTTTCAATTTCCAGAATTTTTTCCTATCTGTAACTTTTCTATTCATAATAATGTGATTGCTATCACATTATTTTTTCTGTAACTGAATTTTTTTAATCTAACCTAAGAGAGAGTTGACCTTTTGACAACACATACATAAGTGATATGTTGCAATAACTCGTAATTTTTGATATTTTATTTTTGTTCTCAACAAATATTACCTACAAAAGACTTGTCTCGCTAGGAGATACAAAATTCAGTTGGAGAACTCAGAGTCTGGCAAACATCTGTCATCCTTTGGTTAATGACACTAAGGAAGATTGAAAATGGTGGGACAGCATTTACAATGAAGCACATTACACCATGTTTGGTCTATTTCAGACCACTCATTCTATCATCGAAAAAAAAGACGGCGAATGAGAATTTTCGAAGCTGGATAAAACAAAAAGAATATGTATAATGTAAGACTTACTGATATGCAAATTACAAGCAAAGCGAGAGGTACTATCACAAGTAAAACGACTATGAGGAAGTACTGGAAAATGTTTAACTTAGTATCTGGAACATTGAAGTTGTCAATCGGACCATGTTTTATAACGAATTCAGTGTTCCATATCAGTCGTTCTCTAGCAGATATTGGCCTTTGCTTTATTATTTTTTCCAGCTTCTGCGCATTTTTCCGGTAACTGAAAGAAGATATAAATGAATGACTGTTTTACAAAAATTTAAAATATCAGTATGACAGTAATGATCGGTGACGGCATGTGATTTGCTAGAAGAGAGAATTTTTTGCAGATGAAAAGGGTTAAATCTGAAGGACAGTTGCATACGCTGATATACAAATATTAATTTACCTACCCTTCTTCGTGGATGATAATTTTAAGTGACGGAGGCTAAGCCATTTGCCGTAAGACTTTCTTTATTCAGAACAATTGCCACATTCCTATTCTTTGCTGTGCCGGCATTTCTGACCTGATCAGCGAATAGTGGTATGCAAATGAGTGGTACTCCAACACTAACACTTTCCATGAGACTGTTTTGGCCGCAGTGAGATACAAAAGCCAAAAGTTTGTGGTGATCCGTAACTTCCATGAAGTAGTAATTGAGTTCCACAATGGAATAACGGAAATTTTGGCTCTGACTTAACGTTGTTTGAAGTAATGATTTCCATATAGAAAAAGTCAGACGACTGCTCGCAATATTTTCAAAAGAATAAGTTTAATATGAGGAACTCACTGAGAAGATCGTTCTGCGGTACCCATTTTTTCTTAACGACATTGAGAAGATGTACATCTCCTCCCTCCATCTTCCTCTTCATTTTCGTATTTCCATATGAAAGTGATCTAAAGGAACATTACCTGAGTACGCTACACATTTCGTTCAATAATCAATGTTATTCCATCTACCTGATGTTGTCGCATTGGGTATCTTTAGGAATATTAAAATAAATTTAATTAATTATCCCAAGCCATACTGTGGATATAAATAAGTTGGAGATGGTTTAGGTTTTATTATCGGAATGAGTAAATAAAGATGCTTCAAATTTCACTTCCGAAATGAGTTACCTCAGGCAATTGTTGGAACGCATTTTCGAATATCTTTTTCTCATCATTACTCATGTCTTTGCTCTTGACCACTGTCCAGAACGATACTAAGACAACGCCACGCTCAGAATGATCCATAAGTTGTTGATAATCCTGAATAATAACATGCTAGATTCAGTATAATTCGCATGATTGCTACGACATACGCTTGCGTCACATACCTCACTAAATGTTGATGGTTCAGGAACAGCTATTCCCCCGACAAATAGAATTTTGCGGCTGACTAGACGAGGAAACTCGAATAATTCATCGGTGTTGACAAAGACTATCGAGCTTTCTTTCATTACTTCCTCAATAATTTTACGGCACTGTTTGTTATATCTTCCGTTTTCCCATCAAAACTTCATATTCAATATTAACTTTAAGATGTGCACACTCATTAAAAAGGCAAAGTACGTTGAGACATATTTTCGAAAACTTCAATTATACCAGAAGGTTCGAATCATCAACATTTTGGAAGAAAAATATTTTGGAGCTTGACATAATGGGCTATTTCAAAGAGGTCAAAGAGGCCTTCTAAAATATTTCTCATCATCATTTCTGAAATCCTATGATGTCCTGAAAAAGGCTTATCAAGTTGACTGCTGAAGAATAAGGTGTATTATTTGGAGAAGCATACAATACAATTGAATTTGTTGTGTAAGTAAAATGCTGGAGGCTTTGCGCCGCTGGTTCCCAAACAAACTTTGTGAAGCCATAAGTTATCGCATACGTGATAACGTTTGTCAGTCTGTCAAGATAATTCATTTTATCTCATAGGGAAGAAAACCAGCTGAAATGAAGGGTAAATCGACGAAAGTGGTGTTAAATAATTTAATATCAGAACTTATGGGTTTACTTAGAGCTTAACTCAAAGTCATTTCTCCAATGCATTGTTCTGAATTACTGTCGCTTACTAGGAGTTCAGAAGAATGAAATGTAGAAGTGAAGGAGTATAACGAACCGGGAACATAGCTCGGATTAGAGCTTACCCTAAAGACCCCAAAGTGGTCACTGGTCACTTCTAACAGATTAATTGCCATTGCAGTAATATGGTTATTAAGATCAATCCTGCTGAAAATGGCATATCCACAGAAATTGATCTGTTCGGTGATACCCAAATCGTACTGTTCTGTCTGCAGCGAGTCCATCAGGTTGTCATCTTCCAGGTGCTCTCAACACTCATTTTATTTTATCGAGCAGACTGAGAATAGATAGCTTGAATCAATGAACTTTTCTGTCGAAATCATGGAATCATGATATTTAAACTCAACGAAACTTACTTTGATATGTCATTCTCTGTGCACCCGCCAGTCGCTGGTATAACTACACAATAGAATCATTGAAAATCGGAATAATCGTAGTTCATGCAAGAATCTACGTGTCCATTTATGTCAAGATGCATTATTTGTAAGGTAAGTGGTCACAGATTCTGAAGCCATGATGTAATTGCATGATCGTTTATGGATGCTAATAATTAAATTAAAAGACCCGGTAAACTTGCAGAATACTGTCGTCCTTCTTCTAGATGTTCTTCGATGAATTTCTCACGAAATACTGATTGTTTGGTAAGGTTTTCCGTATTATCTTTGCCAATTTGGAACCATTGTTGGATACATCTGGATTTAAATTCAGCACAAAAACTGTCTGTAAAATGGGCAAGAAGTTAGCTATAAAAATGATCTTGAAATAAACAAAGAGACTAGAAACATATGATTTATGGTTAACTGGTCTTGATCCATAAATGGATTTCAAACTAATTTAATTAGAAAGCATAAATACGTATCTAAAGTTCAACTTCTTATAAAGCAAAGTTCAAACTTCTCAGTGAAACAATCGTAGATTTTTCATAAAATTTCATGAAAAACATACTACGTCATGTTCAGCTTCTACCAGAATATCCGCTATTCCCATAAAACTGACATGGCTATGGTCCAGGCATGGTGAGAATACTAATATTTTAGAGGAAAAGGTTGATTCCAATAGTATTAGAACTAAGGCCATATATATATAAAGTCATCTTGAACCTGTCAGAGAAATTAATGTTTGCTGTGAAAACATTGTGAAAAATATAAATAAGGATACAGACGAAAAAGAAATAAAAATAAAATACCGATAACAGAGACAAAAAATCGAATAGCCTGCTACAGACTATATTTCAACAAAAAAAAAAAAAACCTAAATATGTGACATTACTAAAAAACGGTCACAACACACTAATGGTATATTTCATTTCAGTTCCTTGAGTTCATTCCGCAATTACCACTAAATTTCTTATCAGTCTAAGGAATCAAAGACTAATTTGACAAAAAAGCTGATTTGACAAATGATAATGGCACAATGATCAGAGAACAACTGAGGTGCCGGAAAAACTCATAAAATCATAATGCAAATTTTCTGCCGGATTATGGAAAGTAAGGCTAGGTTCAAACAAAATATCCAACAAACGGGGTGACGAAATTTTGTAAGTAAAATTAAAGCAATGAAGAGGATATAAGCTAACAATAGACAGCGTAAAACAAAAACGTCTCAGTACCTACACAATGGACAGTCCCAAAGGGTAGCCAATACCTCCATGATAGCCCCGATGGAGCTTACAAAGCTCTTCCCTAATCCTTATATATATATATATATATGAAAAAATCTCGAGACATAGTTGAGTTCAGTTTTTACAATCGAGCATATGATACATCCTCTTCGCTTATCCTCCGTGGTTAACCACAACCAACGATATCTTCGCATATCCGCCACCGCTGCACAACAAACTACGATATTCTTCTATTCACTAAATACATTTCCCGTAACGTATTCCTAACTCAACGACCTATCAACTAATCGACAGTCAAATTACTGTCCAAGGCAACGACAAGGAGTTTGTTAGTTGATGATATTATTTGCTTTTTGTATAACTCATTTATCATTGCTTACCAATTCATCACCTCTACTTGACGATTTTTTTTTCAAAACTTTGCCTTCCAGTAATATTTAATGTGTACAAGCAGTGATAGTTGCATACGTTTCCTCCATTTTTTTACACCTTTTAGCAATAAGCTGATGATTAGTGGTCACTCAGCGGCTAGTGGTCATTTCCTAATCCACGAAGCTTGAAAATAAAAGACTTTGAAGGCGGGAATTTCGATCCTAAATATCCGGAGTAAATTATTGCTTCATAAGCTTATCAATCTCTTTGAGTCACTTATTAACCGTTGCCAAGTCATTAATGTAAACTTTGAAAATTTGCTGTTAGCTGGTACCGCAACTCCAAGTAAGGAATTCTTCCTAGTTTACAACTATTTAACAATCTATTACACTCTGAAATCAAGCAACTTAGAAGGAACAAAGCTTTTTTTGTCAAGTAGCTTTCAAAGTTTTTATAGATCAAGGTTACCTCTTTTTCTTCATCGGGGTAGAGAAATATGTTAATTTTTAGTCTTCAAATTGGCTTGATTACACATATAAGTGGCTTATCCAGTATGGGTCATTTATTCTTCACCTTTCCAGCTTTCGGTTGTTTTCTTCAGGACGATATTTTTTTGAAGTTGTTTCGGATGCAAACTATCTTCTGGTTGTTGCTGTTGCTACTGCTGCTTGATGGTATCTTAACTAAAGGATGATACTGAATACTGAGTAATACTGGATGATTAACTGGAGTAGATTTCATTCCGCACCAGATGCGCTAAATGTTGCAAAAATTCTTTGGCAATTACATGAAGACTCGGAGCTTTTCTGATTCAACCCTGTCCCATCGGAAGTGCCATTTCAAACGTTTGGTGTAGAGTAATAAGGAGAGAATATGGGTAGTGAGTGAGAGAGAATTATGTTTCGCTTGTAAATTGATTCATTAAATGATTCCATGAAATTTTTATTCATTTTATAGATTAATTCCATAAAAATTAATTTTTAAAAAGTCCCGCATCAATTTTTCATAACTCGCCTTTATCCTTTTTATTTTATCTCTTATAAAGTAAGTATTTTAAATTCCTCATCCATTGCTAATCTATTCCAAATGTTTCGTTTGTATGACCACGTCCACGTCACGTAAATTACACAATCGTAATTTCAGTTTTTTTTATTTCTTAAATTTGAAAGAGCTGATAATAAGAGTTAACAGTTTCGCTTAGTTTAATCGCATTGGTCCTTTTTATTCTTAGATATTTGAACTTCTAATTATTTTCAAATTGATACTGTAAGAAGGATGGCAACTTTCAGTTATTTCTGCTTCATACCAAAACTCTACGATTTGTGGACAGGAGGTTCGTATTAAATGAGCCTTGTCAAGGATAACATCCTTGTGATAACAACAAATTTCATTTCTTAAATTCCTTTTTAAAAGTGATTCCGGAATCTTAAGCCTGTTGATCCGGACGAGTCTCTGTAATTTCCCCACTTTAAGGTACTTACAATGAATTACATCTTTACTCTGTGCCAACGAACCAATTAAAGAACTG